CTGTTAGCTTTATTACAAATATAACAGAGTAGGTGACTGTTAGCTTTATTACAAATATAACAGAGTAGGTGACTGTTAGCTTTATTACAAATATAACAGAGTAGGTGACTGTTAGCTTTATTACAAATATAACAGAGTAGGTGACTGTCAGCTTTATTACAAATATAACAGCGTAGGTGACTGTTAGCTTTATTACAAATATAACAGAGTAGGTGACTGTTAGCTTTATTACAAATATAACACAGTAGGTGACTGTTAGCTTTATTACAAATATAACACAGTACGTGACTGTTAGCTTTATTACAAATATAACACAGTACGTGACTGTTAGCTTTATTACAAATATAACACAGTACGTGACTGTTAGCTTTATTACAAATATAACAGAGTAGGTGACTGTTAGCTTTATTACAAATATAACAGAGTAGGTGACTGTTAGCTTTATTACAAATATAACAGAGTAGGTGACTGTTAGCTTTATTACAAATATAACAGAGTGGCAGAATTTCAGGATAGTTATTAAATGTACATACTTACCGCACACCATCAGTCGGCATTATCTCCAAAATCACCCCCACCCCCTCCCCCAGTATCCTGCAGTGCGTAACTTATCAATGGATGATGATAACACTGATCTTTACATTTAAGTATCGCATTTTTGCGCTTACAATTAATTTAAAATTCATGATATTTCGCACTGTAACTTTCCATTTATGCTCCTGTGGACATCCGCAAACCTGATCATTGTTGAAGATTATTTTTTTCATTGTCCATTTCTTAAACAAATCAAAAATATAAATATAAACAATAAAAATTTGAAAATATATTAAAATAATATTTTACTGATCCTTACAATCAGAAGAAAATCAAGGATATATAGTAAGAAATAGTAATAACGTTTATTTGAACAAATCACACTTCATCTCCAAAGGCTCGAAGCGCGGTTCAAAGTCAGCCATATTAAAAGAGAACTGAAACAATCTATATTTTACCACAGTAATACACAAAACGCAACTCTACAAAAACTGCAAACCAGCATAGCCAGTCAGAGTCTTTCATCCATGAACAACACAAGCCAATATACATCTAGGAGATAATAGCCAGCTGGAAAAGATGGTAGACAACATCACCCCAGCAGGTGTTTCAGAAATAGATGTGTTTTC